ATTCATGAGGGGCTGGCCAGGTGGCTCAGTGGGTAAAACGTGCTCACCTTCAAGCCTGGTGCCTGAAGTGTGAGCCTCAAAACCCTCATGGTGGAAGGCAAGAAAAGATACTCACAGCTCTCTGACCCCCACATATGTAGGAACACAACACACAAACACACACATCAAAAACAAAAACAAAAAATAAACAACTAAAAATTTTTAAGTGTAAAAAAAGTTGAAAAATTTACACTAGTATAACTTTTTAAAGTAATTTACCATTACGTTATAAATGTATACGTTAACATATCATATTGATGTTGCTGAAAGATGAACCATTTTCCAGATGTCTCAGCCCCATGTCTTTGTATAAGAACTGTGCGTTTTTGAATTTATGTTTACTCTCTACTCAGAATAGCAGAAGTGAAAGTTAAAGTGTTCTTTTAAGAGAGGAGACTCTGTCTAATCAGGGCTGGACTTTTTTTTTTTTTTTTAAAGGAGTATGCCACCAAGCCTAGCTTTTTTTTTCTTTTTTTCTTTTCTTTTTGTTTTTTTGTTTTGTTTTGTTTTTAGATTTATTTATTTTATGTATATGAGTCTCTGTTTCCATGTACACCAGAAGAGGGAATCAGATTTCATTACAGATGGTTGTGAATCACCAGGTGGTTGCTGGGAATTGAACTCAGGACCTCTGGAAGAGCAGCCAGTGCTCTTGACCACTGAGCCATCTCTCCAGCCCAGGAGCTGGATTTTTTTTTTATCCTGAAGCAGACAGTAAAGTATTTAAGGGAAGCATAACTTTATTTAGAAAAGTCCTTGGTCTAGAAAACAGGTATCAGCTATGTACATCATTCAGGATACTGACATTATCACAAAGGATAGTCTGTACCGGCTAAACAGAGGCTTTAAAGGAAGCACATCAAGATGCCACAAGGAGTTATCTCTACTGTCAAACTCTTCTTCATCTGCTTGGCTGGCTTCCTGATTTCCTAAGGTGACCAGACACTGAAGATGATTACAGGTTCCCATGTTACACAAAAACAAATAAGTAATTAAGAAAAGAATTGACATGGTACCAACACATCATTTGCTGGGTACAGAGGTTAGTGAGACAAGCCAGGTAGAGGCAAAGCAGGCACAGAGACCTCACTGCAGGTCCTCAACTGACAGAGGGGGGTCTGACCCCATGCTGGGAGTGTGGACAGTGCTACCTCTCCAGAGCCTCCCCAGAGCTAAGAGAAGAGACTGAGCTCTCTACGTGCTGCTGCCATTTCAACTGTGGAGAGTACAGCCTGGGGCTCAGAGCCCCATCTGTGTCATCAGCCGCCAGGGGAGGACACTGTGCCTAGTCACTCTCAGGGTGTGTGACCTGAGCAGGTCCCTAGCCTCCCTGTCCTGTTTTCTCAACTGTGAAGTAGGAGTGACACCATCTACCTCCTAGTGTGACTCTGAGGATTAAAGGAGATGATTCACTGCCAAGGCCAAGCACACAGGAAGACCACGATCAACACAAGCCACTGTTATGCACAGGCCGTGAAATATCAGCCGTCAAGTACACTCCCAAAACCGTATCACTGGGTCACAAGCAACCAGAACAGAGTCCAAATGTCAAATTTGTCTTTTTTCTCCTTCACTCCTATAGCTTATACAGTGTTGGCTTGCAATCCAGTTCATAGAGGGTAGCTGAAAATACAGAATAGCTGGATTAAAAAAAAAAAAATTCCAAAGTCCCCACACGGCAGCCAGAAATCCTGCTTTCAAAGTGTCAGGATTTCTAGTCTCTGGTCACTGCCACGGCTGCCAGACAGTGCTTTGGCAAGGAGGTGGCTGACTGGAGTGTGAGCTAGGACTTGGCGAGGAGACACCAAACCATAAGGCCTCCAGGCGGGAAGCTCCAAAGGGCCAACTGCTGAAGCAGTTTGTCTACCAGACTCTTCCTGAGAAATGGAGCCATTCTACTGTCATTAGGAAACTCACATCAGAAAAGCAGACCTTTCAAATGATGGATGAGGCCCCTTCCAGCCTTTGCAACTTTGAAAAGGAAAAACTGAAGGAAAGAGCCAGACTGACATAGCAGTGCACAAAAACGTCTGTAGTGCTCTACCTGTATACATAAGAAATGCACCCTAAAAGTCCAAAGAGAAATCCAATTGCAAAGGGCTCTATGACTATTATTATAATGTAAACACATTGCATTGTATGTGATGAAACCTTCTTCAACCTTATGATTATCTCTCAGTTCTCCCAAGGCGTAAACAAATGTCTTCATGTCCACCTATGAGGAAATGGTTATATTACTATATTAATTACATGCTTAAAGAACAATGTTGCAGAGGGCAAGCAACCAATTCCTCCAGTTGCTAGGAATTGTCGAAGCTTTTTGCCACCACATGCTAGGAAAGCCCCTCAGTCCTGGGCAAACTAAAATGGTCCCAAAAATATTGCCAGAAAGAAAACAACAGCAACAAAAGAATGACAGAAAGACAGACTTGCAAATGCAGAAGTCCTAAGTGTTGAGCTTGACTGTAGCACTAGCTCCCAGTTCCTTCGCACAGTAGAAGACTAAAACCACAGCAGCCTCTCCCTTCCCCCTTACTTTGTAATTTTCCCAAAACAGCTTTTAAAAGGCATATCCCTTCTCTTGCCTGGCTCAGAGATCACTGAAGAACTGGCTGTTGACGTAGTGACCACTGCCCCCAGCCCGGTCCAGCCTTCGGGGGTGATCACCTCTCACTTCACCAACATCCAGAGGCAAAGCAAGACAAATTACGACGCAAGTTATCAGTGACAAGAATGTGTCCTCAAACCAAAAGAATCAAAGAGCTGTAGCCAAGGGCCGGGAACCGCCTTACAAATATTAGGCCGAGATGGCAGCCCCCCCCCCCTTGATAGAGAACAAGCTGCTCCACCACAAACTAAAGCAGGGATCACAGGCAGGTGCAAGATGAGGGGGCGAAGCTCTTCCAGGAGGAGCTTAATCAAGGGGTCCTTATCCTGAGTAGATGAGGTTAAGAGCTGGCTTCTAAGAAGTAAGTTTCAAACAAACAAACAAAAAAAAGTAAGACTATATAAGGCAGGAGAAACGTACTTCCTGGACCTAAAGAAACACTGAAACCATCTTCGCTAACCACTGCACCCACCCCGCCCTACCACCGCCCCACCCAGTCTTCCTCTGGCTTTGTCCCAAAATAGACTGGTGGTTTTTAGGTGTTCTCCAGTCACAGAACTCCTCAGTGCCTTCTGTGTGCCGGGAGACTGGAGTCAAATGAAGGTTATACCTCTTTCTCCCCCGTGGAAACAAAGAGGGTGTGTTTAGAAACATTTGCAAAGATAAACATCTCTGAAAGTCCTTCTCTGATAAGCCCGAGACCGTCCCTCGCTGCTGAGCCCAGTTGCACACTCTTCACCAGGTTTGATGCATATTCGGAGAAAGAGCCTCATATCCCGCTTTAACTCATCTACTGAAAGGAAGGGGGCATCTACCTCAGGGCCTCAAGCTTTCTGCAAGTACAGGAGCCCAGGAGGTGGACACCAACAGCTGAGGATCTTGAGGAAGACTTGCTTGCCTCTCCGGGTCCGCTGTTTTTACTTAAACAATAAGGACTTTAGGATAGATGGCTAGCATCTTCCTAAGTAAGATGCTGCACGGAATTCTCGCATAGATAACCTAACAATGCCTACTGGAACCAGGTCTGTACTCTGCAGATTTGGGGATTTACAAAGTATAAGAATGTGTGCCAGCAACGCTGACCTGACCCAGACACACGACAGTGTGCAGCTTAAAACAAGCAAATGTCTAACAGTTGGCAAAAATGGTGAACAAAGGGTAGAGAAAATCCTAATATCAATTTACAAGCCCTTGAAACGCTCAGGAGCCAATGAGGAGGGGCAGGTTCGCACAATTAACAGCTGCTCTCCCTGCTAAATTTAACAGAGTTTTTTAAACTCGGTGACTTCTGGAAGGGGCGGGGGAGGGGAAGAGAAGGGGGCTGTAGATACGTCCGAAGAGCAAGCTGAGGTCACTTCAATCTCAAGGGGCAAAAACAAATCCTTGTGGTTCACTACCGCAGGCGGAGCGTTTCGGCTGCAGGACGCTCTGGCCGGACACTAAGTAGCAAGAGACCGGAGGCGTCCTCTTAAAGAAGTTTGAGCGGTTTAATCCTGGGGCTGGCCTGGTGGCCATGTGTCAAAGTCGAGACCGCCTCCCTGCTCGTCAGGCCCCCCAAAGTGTTCATTTCAGTGTGCACGAATAAACCGAGAAGTGGAGGAGCACCTAAAGAGCCACGAAGAGATGTTTTGGGTTTTTTTTTTTTTTGTCTCGCAACTTGGTTGGGCTTCTGTGAGTGTCAGTGTCCAGGACATGTAGCCAAGACTGTCAATCGGATTCAGTAAATAATCTCATTGCTTCTAGCCGAACTCCGGGGCAGCCCTGAGTAACGTCTCGGCCAGAGAAGCAACAAAGCTGACGAGCACCGGCGCCTGCGAGCTCACCCTGGGACCTGACTTCACCTCCCCCGGGGAGACCGGGGCCGAGAGAGCGCGCGTCCCTCCGCACCCTCAACCCCGCGCCCCACACCCGCCCCCCGGGCAACTAAAGGGGAAGTCAGGGCGTCCCATCCCACCGACGAGACAGCGGGGCGCACGGGAACGGGGATCCGGGCCAGCCTCACGCGTGCCGCGGGAGAGGTCCAGGGCTGCGAACCTCCCCCGCGCCCTCCACCTTCCTCCTCCCCCTGCCCCCGCCGACAACCTGGCCCCGGGGTGAGTGCGCAGCGCGGCCCGAGGCTCCCCACCTCCCCCGGGACGGCCACGGCCCGCGTCCCCCGCGCACGGCGGCCACTCCCGCACCCCGCCGACCCTCTCCAGCCGCGAACGGCCCGGGGCTGGGGGGCTGGGGAGGAGGGGGAGGACCGCGCCGGAGCCGAGCCCCGAGGCCGGCCGGGCACGCTCGCGGCCGCGCGTCCACAGCACCGGGGCGCGCCCCGCCGCGCCCCCCTCGCCCCGCGCCCGGGCGCCCCTACCTGGTCGCAGAGTTTGAGCACTGCCATTCTTCCGCTCCCGCGCGCGCGCGCGCATCCAGGTCCCCGCTCCGCAGATGTCACGCCGGGAGCTGGGGAAACGGAAGGGACCGGCCGGGGATGGGGTGGGGGGGAGAGACGGAGGAAGCGCCGGGAGCCCGGCTCCCGAAGGTGACGGCCCGCCCACCGCTCCGCCGCCCGAGCCCGGCCCCGGCTCTCGGGATCCGCAGCCCGGCCCGCCCGCCCGCCTTGCTACAGGAAGTGCCGGCCGCTGCCAGCTGGGCCGCCACTGACATCACCGCGCGCTGCTCGCGCCGCCCGGGCCGACGCTGCCTCCTGCCGCCCGCAGGGGCTCCTCGCAGCCCCGCGGCCCCTGCGCCCTCCCGCACCTGCCCGTGGCTTCTTCGCCCCACGCCGGAGGAGCTCGTGGTGGGGGGCTGCCGGCGACCCCCTCCCCTCGAGGGCCTCACCCCCTCCCCGCGCGCACGCGACCCGTGGGCAAGCCCCTCTGCAGGCACGCCCCAGGGGCCGGGAGAGATTGCCACTCCGACGCCACCAACTTTCACCCTGCGGGACTGCGTCACACCCCCTTTCCCTAACCTCCTTCCCTAGTCAGATCGCTCCAGTGCTCCGAATTCTGCCACCTGGGCGCACGGCTGACAGTCTCTTTGTTTAACGGAAGGAGGCCCTGGGTGCCTTGTGGTTCCAGTGTTTCTCTAATACATAGGGAGGAACAGGGGCTAGGGCCCTTCGTTCCAACTTCTCCCGCCAAACCACACACTACCCTAACTTGGTATCCTGGGCTTGGGGACTGAGGTGGCACTGAGAAGAAAAAAAAAAAAAAACTGTCCTAAGTTACTGCATGGTCCTGGCTGATTTATTCCTACGAGAGCGTAAGTTGCATGGGAGAGAGAGAGACAGAGACAGAGAGAGACAGAGAGAAAAGAGGAGGCGAGGGCGGGCGAGGAGAGGCGGCTGTCCAGCAGCATGGGCTTCTAACAGGGTAGCAGCAACCCATAGTAAGTGTTGGCACTTTTGAGATCTGGAAAAGCACTTATTAATTCAGGCAGTGGCTAAGCATGGAGAAAAACAGGCATAAGCAGGAAAGATACTCTGCGGGCTGGTGTTTCCCTCAACTTGTCACAGGCTACAGTCCTCTGAGAAGAGAAAACCTCGGTTAAGAATAGTTCCCCACCAGATTGGCCCGTGGGCAAGCTGGTGGGGCCCTTTTCTTGACCAATGATTAATGTGGGAGACCTCAGCTCACTGGGAGTTGTGCCACCCCCGGGTGTGTGATCTCGGGTGTACAAGAAAGCAGGCTGTGCAGTCCATGAACACAAAGCCAGTGAGTAGCACTTTCCCCGTGGCCTGTGCTTCAGTTCCTGCCTTGAGTTCCTGCAGTGGCTTCCTTCAGTGACAAACTGGGATGTGAAATTATAAGCAAAAATAAATCCTTTCTTCGGCAAGTTTTTTGTTTTTATTTTTATTTTTGTTTTTTTTTTTGTTTTGTTTTGTTTTGTTTTTTTCACAACAATAGAAACCCCAAGACAGGTTCATACTCTCAAAGGCCACTCACATAAACCAGACAGCCATTGCTGAGCAATATAATTACAAACTGATATAAAGGGGCACAAAGAGGGGTACACCAGGCCAGACTGGTGGCTAAGGGCAGGCTCCCTGAAAGAGGAGAAAGGCTGAGATCTAGAGAAGAAAGTTAAACAGGAAAGTGAGAATTGGGACACTCCCAGGAAGCCACAGGAGCCCTGAGAGGCCATGGAGCAAGCCTTCAGGACTGTTGAACAGTAAATCAGAGCTGCAAAGTGCCTGGGTGAGAGCAAATGCCTGCCCCTGCAATTCACTCACAAAACAATCGTAGATGCTCCCTCCCCGTTGTCAGTGCCTCCACAAAGACTTCACGGGAGAAGGGAGTGACCATCATTGACTAGCACCCTTGCATTTCTCATCCACCCACTCTGGCTGGTGAAGCAGCCAATCCCCGACGCTACTCTTCTCCACCCACGCAGAAACCAGGGAACTGAGGAAGCACGGTCGGTCCTGGGGTCCCCCTCTTTGTCCACCAGTGAAAAGCAGACACACACCTCAAAGTCTTTGTTCCCAAGACCCTTCCCAGACAGAACTCAGTTGTTTGTTGGTGAGTGAGGCATTCCATACTGCTGTCCATCAGGCTGCCTGCTAATATCTTGCGTAGATTTGTAGGTATATGGGACAGCAAACTCCCTAACTAAATACAACTGCATTTCCAAAGAGAGATAACCAGTTATGTAATTTGACGATTCCCTGGAGATCTACTTAGGTCATCATGGACATGCATATACATGAGCTCTTGGGTCAGTCAGGCCCCCCCATTCACCTACCCCCTCTCTTTCTGAGATCGCGTCTTGCAACATTGCTGGCAATCTGGCCTTGAACTCTCAGTCCTGCTGCTTCTGCTGTTCCCGCCTGTGTGCTGCCACAGCAGGCTGTTGTTGAAAGGGACACAATCATAGCCCCAGGAGGCATTTTCATTCACAGAAATAGTAAGTAGTGCTTTCAACGTTGCCTTCACTTTCCAGAACTGAAATTCAAATATAATATTACCTACTTACACAAATCTATTCTAGAATTCAATGTCCTGCCCTAATTATGTAATAAACGAAAAGCAAATGGAAAGGTATAGTTGCTGAATATTCCAACAGCTAAATGATACATACATAGCACAACCCTGCTAGAGGACAAAGCAGTAACATTGTGAATACATTGTTGCTGAGAACACCAGCAGGGCAGAGCAATCCAAATGTGTAGTATCAGCAACTCAAATGTCAAGAAGAGAGTGCCCACAATCCCAGTACCGTAGACTAGGTCAAGAGTTTAAGGTCGTCCTCGGCTACATCAAGTTTAAGGCCAGCCTGACCCCGTCTCAAAACAAAAACACCAAGAACATGAAATTGGCTCTCTGGGTGGAAATGCTTGCCCTGCAAGCCTGCAAACCACCAGTTTGATCCCCTGAACCCACATAACAAGCCAGATGTGGTGGATGCATGCATCTGTACTCCCAGAACGTCTATGGAAGGTAGATGAAGACTTGAGAATAGACTAGCTAGCCCGGAACACACAGCATGGAAACAACAGATCCTACCTCAAAAACACGATAAAAAGAGAGAACCAGCTGCCTTAAATTTATCCTTCAACTTCTTCACATGTACCTTGGCATACATGTATATGCACACACACATACAATTAATGGCATTATCATAGGTGAGGAGGTATGAAATTTGAACTGGTCCAGTACCTACTAAAAAGGAAAAAATTCGGCTAAAATAACTAACATGAATGCCTGTCCAGAGAGCCTGGACTTACGTATATCTCTAGACATGTATCTCTAGATATGAAGACGCTGGAAAATACATTAGTGAGGACAACCGCAGAAAAACTCTATAACAGACAGAGATGGCAGGGGCGGGGGGGACTGCTGCTGAGCTAGCTCGGTGAGTCCTACTATCCCGAGATGACACTGTGCCAAATGACACTGCTTAACTGGCACAGACAAGCACGGGCAGCGGGGACAAAGCAGAGCCAAGTTGGATATTTGGCAGTGACCTGGGCAAACCTAAAAATTAAATAGGTAGGAAAACTTTGAAATGGCCCTGATTTTTATAGCAGGCAAACCCATGGGCTCACCACCTGAAAGCTGCTGGTGACGTCACAGCGATGGCCTCCGCCTCACCCAGTCTCCATTAAGCCACGTCACAGACACCGAACCCTTTGAATGAAGAAGTTAGTCCTCTTTGGGGACTCTACAATATGGCCATAAATATATGGTACAAATTCTTCTTAGGGGAACCTGGTGTCATTTTCCAGGATGACCCAAACATTTCAGGAATTAGATACTTTAGTATCTAATTAGTATCTAATCTTAGTTCCTAAGATTCCAGGCACAGGCCTGGACCACCAGTCAAATTGAGGCTTATGGCAATGGTGATACATGGAGTTTACACGCGTGTGTAAGTCACTGCTGACCTATAATATAGTTACATACGTGGCCTAAAGTATTCAGCCGAGGAGGCCTACTTGATAGCTAACAGAATCCCAAGGTGTTTTCTCTGACACACAGGCTATCGTGGCAGGAGGGGCCGACCGGAAGCCCTATTAATGGACTAGAAGGATGGGGATAGCGCTGAGTCCTCCGGAATGTAGACATCAGCACCGCCATAAGACGTGTGGGACAAGCAGGGGGTGGGGGCCGCACACATTCTCCCCTTTTTACTCACCTGTTTGGCGGCTGCCACTGGCAGAGGGCTCCAGAGTTTAACTACAGACTGTTAACTCAAGCAAGAGCCACACCAGTTGCAACGGGTGCTGTAGCTACCCTCCAACAAATGGGTCACAGAGCTGGGCACCTGGCATACATCTAGTGTGAGAGTAATTCTTTTTTCATCTATTCCAAAGCAAACTGTTTTGCTTTCCGCCGAAGCAGCCATCTTGCAGCAACTCACCAAGATGACAAACACTAAGGGAAAGGGGAGGGGCCCTGGCTCTCTCTTCTCCAGGCCTTTCAGGAAACATGGAGTTGTTCCTTTGGCCACATCCATGCGAATCTACGAAAAGGGTGACGTTGTAAGACATCAAGGGGAAGGGCACTGTCCAAGAAGGAATGCCTATGAGCCTGAGTCTGTGCCAGGGCAATGTCCCCAACATGGAACTGTCATAGAAGAGACTGGGCAGGCTCAGAAAGCAGAAGTTGCCTTAGCAGATAATTTAGATTCATTTGATAATCACTCCTATAACATTTTTGTCTCCTTGAAGATTTTAAAACTAAAGAAAAGACAGTTCTCAGAACACGAGTACAAGCTGGCAACTCCACGTTTACCAGAGCAGTGAAGAGTTTTCTCAGTGCGAGTTATTTCTGGGAGCAAACTGAATGTCTTTGTCTGGCTTGAGAGATGGCCAGAGACATAGATTTGTGTTCAACCATGAATGACTGTGGGTTATTTCACTAGTCAGGAGCCAGAAAAAAAAAAGAAAGAAAGAAAAGAAAAAACAACAGCCAAGGTGGGAAGATCAGTGAAAAGGAGATCTGGAGAAATCCTAGATGAGTGCTCTCATCCCTCAGAGAGTGGGAGAGTGCCTGTGTCAGTGAAACACTCACTGTTCAGCAGGGATGACACATCGGGTAAAGTTGGCCTCTTCAAAGTAGCCATAGTAGCCATGT